GGAGAGGTGCAGCATCATGGTCGTGTAACATTTGTTCCCCAAAGTTAAAATAGGGGGGGGGCCCAAGAATTTTGGGAAACGAAGAAAAACCCAAGTAAATTAAAATCCCAAGAAGTTGGGAGTGTCCCGACAGGTTGTAGAAGAATGGTTCAAGAACCGACATGTTTTTAAATTTTGACACAAGTGCAAACTTGGGGATCTTTTTGAGGAAAATTTTTGCCAAACAAATGGCTTCATGTCGGGGCTCTGAACCATTTATCTACAAAACCCACACTCTTTTTATGGGTTGGGGAAGCTTTGGGGTTTTAAAATTTTCAGTTGGGGGAAATTTTGGGTTTGGGGGCAGTGTAGAAGCCTGTCCCAAGGGCCCGTGTTTTTGTGTAAAAAATTTTACAGAAAATTCAGAGTGTGGAAATTAAGGAGGAGGTGTGGGTTTAATAAAAGTAATTTTTCAAGGGCCCGAAAGGGTTTTTGGGCATTTTGAGAGAATAATTTAAAGTAGAATGACATGGAGAGCATAAAATCTGTAGGGGAAGGAAGGCGGGGTAAAGGGGCGTCCTCGAAAAAGGTTTTGGGGGGAGGGGTTTTCCGGAGGGTTTTTTGGGTGAGGGGGCCCTTTGGGCTTCCAACAAGGGAGTGTGAGCATGTTTTGATAAACTGAAAAGGAACAAATGGGTTTTTGGGAAACCGAAAGAGCGCTGGAGTTGGAGCAGGGTAATATTTAGTGAAAAGATTTAGGGAAAACCGGGTTTTTTTTTATATGCCTGACTTAGTACGGGGGAAAAGGGAAGTACAATGCCTGCCCTTTAAAGGGGGGGTTTGGGATTTTTGGCAGTTTGGAGGGAATGTTTATAACTTTATATTTTGCTTCCCAAACTGTAGTATCGGATGCCTCGCAAAAACAGTGATTTTGTATGAGGAGGTGAAAGTGTTGGGAAAGATGAAGAAAGTATTTTTGGGGGGGGTTTTCTTTCTTTTTTTTGGGGCCCCCCTCCTAGGTAGGTGATGGGGCCAAATTGTTAAAAAAAAAAATAAAATTTTCAGTGCCGGATTAAGAATTTTTGGGGACCAAACAAAAAATTGGCAAAGAGCAAAGCAATTTTCCCCTTTTTTTAAAAGAAATGGGACAAGAAGAATACAAAAAAATTATAGGGGGGTAAGTCTTTGAGTAAATTTTTGGGATTTAGGGAAGTTTACAGTAAAATTAAATTTTTAAAAAAAGTAGGGGGGAAACAAAAGTAGGATTGCAGAGTAAAAGGGGGATTCAGGAAGGGGAGGGGAAGTGTAAAACCCTTTTTTAAAAAGAAGTAAATAAATGAGGCAGAAAAATCTTTGTTTTCATTTATGGATTTTTGGGAAAAACCCTAAGATAGGGGACAGAGGTAACTAGCAAACATGTTGCAAATGCTTTCAATAGGATTTTTGTTTTTAGATGGGGGCTCAGGGTAAAGGGTATGTAGAAGGGAGGGGGGAAAATATTTTCCTGTGAAAATAGGGCTAGGGCAGAGATATGTTTATATCAAACCCCAGTTTTTTAACAAAAATTTTTAATTTGGTTGTAAAAGAATGAATGCTAGGGGATTGGGAAGATGTTTTGGGGTTAAAAAGATACTGGATCTGATACAAAGTGGGGGCATCAAAGAGCTGTTTTTTCTGATAAAAAGTAATTTTTGAGACATCTGAGGACAATTTTAAAAAACTGGTGGATAATTTGGGGGGGGGAATGAAAAAAAAAAAAAAGGGAAAATTTAAAAGTAAAAAATAAAAAAAGCAAGGCAATGAGGATAAAAAAAAAATTTAGGGAATAAAAAACTGAATATCAGATTGGAGGGGGGGAATATGGAGGAAGTAGATGGGTTTTTTGAAAGATTAGGGAACCATAGAAAGATGAGGAGGGGGGGAAATGCGAGTACAGTTGGGGGACCGTGGAAAGAAAGAAAATTTTTCCTATGGAGACCAAAAAAAAAAAAACAAAGAGAAAGTACCCCGAGTAAAAGGGGGAGCAAAAAATTTCCCCATGGGTTGAGAACACCCGCAAAGAGGAGGCTAAAGACAGTGGAGATGCCATGTTTTGACAGCAATTTTTGGAACAAAAATCATGCAGAGAATTTGGAGCTTAAAAATTAAAAAGAAAATAATGGATCACTGAGGGTATAAAATTTAAATGGATAGGTGGGTTTGCGATGTGGTTTGGGAATTAAAAAGGAATGGGAGGAATTTTTGAAAAAAAAATGAAGAGGGGGTAAAAAATTTTAGGGGAAGGGAGGAGGAATTGGGGAAAACCCCAGGAATGGTTGGAAAAGGGGAAAAAAGGGCTTTGAGTTTTTTGGGGTTTTGAGCATCCCTTGGGTTGGTGTTGAAGGGGTAAATGGAGACAAGTATTTTTTTAAAGAAGAAAGCCCACTGAATTTTAAGCACAGTAAACTTTTGAAGATATTCAAGAAAACCGGTTAGTCAAACAGTGGGCCCGCATGCTGAAGGAGGGGGGGGGGGGATGGGTGCAGTTAGAGGGTGATCCCGAACGTGATAAGCATACTTTCTGGCAAAAAAGTGATTAAAAAGAATGATGATGAATGCAAATTTTTTTTCTTAGACAAACCCGCCTTGGCAGGAGAAGGCCAACTGGGGGAAAAATAAATACAGTGGTACCTCGAATTCTGGGAAAAGCCCCAATTCGAAAAAAATTAAAGTAAGTGAAATTTTTGGGGGGCTGAAATGGGTTTAAACCCAATTTCATTATTCCTTTTGGGAAAAAATTTCCCTTTGGGAAAAGGCAACTCAAACAGGGCCCTTTTGGAAAAGAAAATTTCGGCCGAAATTCGAGGGACCACTGTATATGCCATACATCTATATAATGGATTAAATATTTTTTTAAACCCTTTAGTTTTTCATACTTTTCCCAAATCAATTTTACCCCGAGGCCCCTTTGGTTTTATTTCCCTGATTCTGTAATTTTCCCTTTTCCCAATTTGACAATTTAATTCCCCACACTACCGAGGGGCCCAACCTTTTCCAGTTGACATGTCCCTATGTGTCCTTCCCGTGTTTCAAAATCCACATGTCTCAGTTAAGCCCCTAACCCCTTTTAAAAAAGCTCCCCCTATAAAAAAAAAGTATTCCATGGGCCCTAACCCAAATAAAAAAAAATCACAATTAAATTTTATATTACCCTTTAAATTTTTGGTTCAGAAATGGAATAAATTATAGGTAATCTTAAAAACTAAACTGCAATTTAAAATTTTTACTTTTCAAAGGAAAGTTAAACACATATGAGACAAGGAAAAAACATATTTGCATTTTAAAAAAATTTAAAAATGAAAAAAAAAAATAAATTTTCATTTACAAAACCGATAAAAATTAAAAAGAATTATTTAATTTTCTCTAACAACATTTAATAAAAATTAAAACACAGCAAACCTTTACCAAAGTACATTTTTTACAGTCTAATCTCCCGTACAGTATTAAGTAATGAAATAACAGAGAAAAAACCACTAACCCTTTAAACCCGGGACAAACCCAAAACTGCACGCACAAAATCGTGGGTGTCAGGCGCCAAATGGTTTCTCCTCCAACTGCCCCCTAACGGAGCTTTCCCCCCTAAAAGTGCGCGGATCTTTTCCCGAATACCAAAACCGATGAAAAAGAAATAAATTTTCCCTTTAAATAATCAGATTGCAAAAAACCTTTACCTGTTATGTAGTAGGGGGCTGTGACTTTCTGTGATGGTTTTGGGGTACACAGAAGAAAAACAGTTTTGTTTTCCATACCCAGGGCCCCTCCCTTTGGGAGGGTGGGCCAAAAAAAAGGGAAAGGGAAAAAAGAGTATAGCTGGTTTTTCTAAATGTATAACCCCAGATAAAAAAAAATTCAAAAAAAAGATTGTTTTATGCTGCTTTAGTGTCCTTTCAATTACTCTTTCAAGTGCAAAACAGATTCTTTGGGGAATGTTCCCAAGCCTCAGTTTTTTATTTTTAATGTCTTTTTAGATAAAATTTTTCCACCAAAGAAAAAATGCTTTAAATTTTAAAAATTTAAACACCCCTTTCCTTAAAAATTATAAACCCCTCTCCCAAAAAATTTTTATAAACTTCCTTTTGGGCTGGGGAACCCCTACAATACTTAACGTCTCCTTGACATCCAAACCATGTGGTCATGAATGCAAAAACATGACAAGGGGACCTAAGAAAAATGAGAAAAAAGAAAAAAAATAACTGTAATAATAAAACCCATAATACTATAAATTAAAAAAAATTGGGAAAAAGTTTCTTTTTTTTTGGGCACCCTAAACCTTTGGGGGGAGACAACCCCCCCGCAAGCAAAAAAAAAAAAAAGTTTTTTTTGAAAACTTAAAGGGATACTTGCACCCCCTACAGCTTTTTACTAAAACCAAAACCCAAATAATTGAATCATTGTTTCAACCAAAAAACATTTTTTAATATTGAATAAAAATTTTTTTTTTTTATATAAAAAAAATCACTTATAATTAATAGATCACGTACAACATGAAAATAATTCTTTAGTTTTAATTGTCAGTAAGCCAAAAGTTAATTTTGGGGCCCTAAAAGCCCAGGGATAATAGAGGCTCTCTTTTTCATTGCCCAAACCCTTTTTGTAAAAACATAATCTCAATGTACTATTTTCCAAGACATAAATTTAAAAAAATAAATAAAATAAAAAAGAAGTTTTCTCATTGCCAGTTTTATAAGGAAAACCAATTTTAATTTTTGGCTTTCAAATACGTCTCAATTCTTTTTATAATCTTTCTGTGGGTCCCCGTCCCAATGGGAAAAGGCCCTACAAAACAAATTTGGCGGGGATGTAAATGATAAGAGACAAACAAGGTAATGCTCTGGATAATGTCCACTAACACTGAACTTTCATAGAAAATACTGTACTATCATCCAACTTTGTGAAACAATTTTTCATATGAAAATGCTCTCAAACAAATGCCTGAAAACAAAACATAGAAAAAATGAAAAAATATTTTATGAAAAAATTACCAATTGCAAATTGGGGTGTCCCATCCGCGCTTCATCCAGTTCATTTTGTACTCCAAGCCAAAGTTAAAGAGCTTTGTAAGCCACGTTCCCTGAGATGCTACCTTTTCTAGGATGCCTTTGTAGATGCGATCAAGGATTAGCTGTATGTAGTAAAGAAAACATGGATGAAATAATCTGAATATTTATTAAATGGCAACAATAAAGATAGAAACAATATATAGAAAAAAGGAAAAATAATCACAATAATGCGGAGGAAACAATCTTTAGACAATGTTTTGGTTCATCCTGGACCTGATAATGGTACAGGATGAACCAAAATGTCTTCAAAAAATTTGTCTCCAATTTCTTGGTTTGTTGTGAACAGAAAGACAGGTTATAAGAAGGCACATGCTACAAAAAAAAATATTTTTATTAGTACTGTAGGATGTTTCACCTATATGAAGCTTCATCAAGTACAAATAATATTATAACTGGTAACATATATATATATATTGTCTATTGCTGAGAAGTGGTGGAGTCAGATGCTGGGTGAGGCTGAGATATTACGTCTGGTGTAGGTGAGGTGACCCATCATGTAATGTCAAAGTGAGGTTAGGTAAAGTTGGAATTAGCCTGAATCACATCATCAGGTCCAGGTAATTTGTGTTTCCCATGCTGTTTCAAAACAGTTTTAGCAATGGGATTTGTTAAAAATGCATTTGATAAAACTATTCTGTAACATGAAAAATACAAATTACCAAGACATGACGTCATGATTCAGGTTACATCCAACATTACCTGATCTTATTTTGACACTGCCTAACAGGTCACCTCACCTATGCCTCACAGTGTCACCAACTGGACAAGACCCGGGCCAGGACAGAACCGCGTACCTCATCCAATCCTACCTCACCTATGCCATATGTGACATCCCAACTTCAGCTCCACCCAGCACCCAATTCTACCAATTCTCAGTACTATATACAGGTTGCTAGTAGTGATATTCTTTGTACTTGATAAAGCCTCATGTAGGTGAGACATCACACTAGTAAATCATCATTAGCTGTAGGTGCCTTTTTACCACTTTTCAGTTATGCCATACTTCAACCAAAAATACAATGTAGCCTGTTTGATCGTTTTTTTTGTTATACAAAATGTTTTGAATAATGATTAAATGACTTACAGGTACAGAGGCCATCATAGTTGGCTTGAGAACAGAACAGTCACCCAAGCAGCCACGCTTGATTTTGCTGGATCTGTCAGTCATTGTAAGAGGTGTGGAGTACCCCATACGTATTCCAAACATCATCATCATGGACTCTAAGATGAAGTGTTGCTTTGTTAATTTAAGTTATGCACCTGACCTACTATGTTAAGTAAAAAGATCATTACCATACTTTCATTATTTTATTTGAGCTTCAGCACCACCTGATAAGAAATGAGATTGATGTGCAGAATTTAGAATGTGCAAAAAGATATGAATAAGCGAGGTATTACACAATGAATATTCAGGGTAAGTCGGTGTTGGAAGATGTGTGTATCAGTCAAATAGATTAATTTAATTTTTACAGTGGGCTAGAAGAAGATAAATTATGTAACATCACAGTCACTAGTGAGATGGTTGTGAGGCAGATAGACAGACTGAAGCAAAATAAGTCGCCGGGTCCTGATGAGGTTTTTTCAAGGGTTCTTAAGGAATGCAAAATGGAACTCTGTGAACCATTAACTAATATTTTTAATTTATCTCTTCAAACAGGTGTAGTGTCTGATATGTGGAAGATGGCTAATGTAACTCCTATTTTTAAAACAGGGGACAAGTCGTTACCGTCAAATTACCGCCCAATAAGCCTGACCTCAATTGTAGGCAAATTACTAGAGTCAATTATAGCTGAGATTATAAGAAGCCATCTCGATAAGCATAGCTTGATTAATGATACTCAGCATGGATTCACAAGAGGCCGGTCTTGTCTAACTAATTTATTAACTTTCTTCAGTAAAGCTTTTGAGGCTGTTGACCACAATTTAAAGAATTTGATATTATTTACTTAGATTTTAGTAAGGCTTTTGATAGAGTTCCGCACCATAGACTGTTAAAGAAAGTGGCAGCCCATGGCATTGGGGGAAAAGTGCTCTCGTGGACGAGTCATGGCTCACTGACAGGAAGCAGAGGTGTCCATAAATGGGGTTAAATCCGAGTGGGGATCTGTAACAAGTGGCGTTCCACAGGGATCAGTCTTGGGCCCGTTGTTGTTTATAATATATATCAATGATCTTGATGAGGGAATTACTAGTGATATGAGCAAATTCGCCGATGACACAAAGATAGGAGGATAATTTATTCAAACGTAGATGTTAGGGAACTTCAGGAGGATTTAAACAAACTCTATTCTTGGTCAGAAAAGTGGCAGATGCAGTTCAATGTAGATAAGTGCAAAGGTTCTGAAGCTTGGGAGTGCCCATAACCCTAGTACTTATAAATTAAATGATGTAGAACTTAGCCATACAGATTGCGAAAAGGACTTGGGGGTTATGGTGAGCAGCAACCTTAAACCAAGACAGCAATGCCTAAGCGTACGTAATAAGGCAAATAGATTTACTGGGATTTATATCAAGAAGTGTAAGCAACAGAAGTCCAGAGGTCATACTGCAGCTTTATACATCATTAGTAAGGCCTCACCTTGATTATGCAGCTCAGTTCTGGTCTCCGTATTACAAAATGGACATAAATTCGTTAGAAAACATTCAGCGTAGGATGACTAAATTAATACATAGCATCAGAAATCTTCCTTATGAAGAAAGATTGAAGACTCTTAAGTTACATTCACTTGTTAGACGAAGAATGAGGGGAGACGCTGATCGAAGTGTATAAGTGGAAGATAGGTATTAATAAAGGGGATATTAATAAGGTCTTGAGGATGTCTCTCCAAGAGAGAACCCGCAGTAATGGATTTAAATTAGATAAGTTTAGATTTAGAAAGGACATAGGAAAGTATTGGTTTGGAAATAGGGTAGTTGATGAGTGGAACAGTCTACCTAGTTGGGTTATTGAGGCTAGGACTTTGGGTAGTTTCAAATCTAGGTTGGATAAGTACATGAGTGGGAAGGGTTGGATTTGAGTGGGACTTTCACATCAGAGCTTATTTCTTGGGTAGCATTGAAAATTGGGTTGGGTAAATGTTTTGTTAGTGGGATGAATTGTAAAGGACCTGCCTAGTATGGGCCAGCAGGCCTCCTGCAGTGTTCCTCCTTTCTTATGTTCTTATGTTCTTATGTTCTTATTAAACACCCAGGGATTTGACCAGTAAGTGGATTAGTGACCTCACTGACAGAGCCTAGATCTAGGTTAATAAGACCTACATAAGCTATGGCCTTCATAGGCCTCAAGAAAGTACAAAACCATAACCCACAGTACCACATACAGTATTAAACTAAGAAAAACTGCTTTCACTGATAGGAAATGTATTTACTAATCAAAATCTATAATTACCCCAATTCCATTAATACATACAGAGTTTTAAACACATAGTGCTACAGTCCCTCAAAGTGTCCATGATAATATTGAACATGTGTCAACTGTGGCCTGCATCTTATAACTTGTCAAATAAACCAGGAAACAGGTGAGTCTTAAAACTAACAGAGCAGTGAACACTGTAGGACTCACCTGTTCTTGTTCATATTGGGTTCAAGCCCCACCAGTTCCCCAATTTGTTTGCAATCATGTTATTACAATTTTGTGGGTTATAACATGATTCCTACTCATTCTAGTTTCACTATGTATAATTCCATGACCTTGAATTATTTGGTACTGTAGATGGGGAAGCACTAAACTTGGGTAGTAGGTGGTAATCAGGTTCAGGTCTAGGAGAAGAAGGATAGCAATGCTCCACTTGGTACTCATTTGCCAATTATGGTAAACATATGTAACTACCGCTACACGACTGCAAACACTACAACTTGTTAATGAAGTTTCTCTGGGATATTTGTACATTTATTAAAAAAAACGTTTATTAAAAAATATTAAAAAATGGTAGACAGCAACCACCCAGGGAGATACTACTGCCCTGCCAAATGAGTGTATGACAGAAACCTGTATTTGTTCTACATGATGGTAGGATTGCTGATGTCTTTTTTTCTGTCTCATAAACATACAAGACAACAGGTATATCTTGATACTTTAACTTATAATTAGGTCACACATGTACATACACATTTATGTATACACGCTTAGATACAGTGGAACCTCAAATTTCGAACTTAATCCGTTCCAGGAGCTAGTTCTAAAGTCGAAAAGTTTGAAAGGCGAAGCAATATTTCCCATAAGAAATAATGGAAATACAATTAATCCATTCCAGAAACCCAAAGTGTACAATTACTAATAAATTTAAATAAACATATAAAATAACATTTTTACTTACCTTTACTGAGATTGGTGATGGCATCTGGAAGATAGGGAGGAGGAGAGAGGGAGTTGGGGTTAGTGTTTCGAAGGGGAATCCCCCTCCATAAGGACTTTAGGTATCAAAGCCCTCTCTGGGGTTACTTCCCTTTTCTGTCTTTTAATGCCACTAGGACCAGCTTGAGAGTCATTGGACCCCAGTCTCACACAATAACTCTCCACAGTCCTCTGTTTCTGGCACCTCTTTAAGATTTCCTTAAAATGGGACATGGTTCTGTCACTGAACTTGTTGCAAAGATGGCTTGTTTCAGCTTGCTCAGGGTGGTACTTCTCCACAAACATTTGGATATCATTCCACTTGGTGCAAATCTCCCTAATCTTAATCTTTCTTTACCACAGGGGTACCACTAGCAAGTTTCTTTGGACCTATGGTAGCTTATTTCACAGTCCCACAAGCACTAAACACAAAGAATTAATCGTAAAATATTTGAATGAGACCGCAGGTTAGTGTTCATTCAAGCATCAAGCAAGCCAGACTGGCTCACGGCGCCTGCACAGGAACGCAGACAGAGTGGGCTGGCAGACAGGTCCAGTACCCAGCGGTTCGAAAGAAGGGGCGAGTTTGATAATAGGGACAAAGTTGGTCCGAAAAAAGCGGTTGATTTTCGAAGAGTTTGATAAGTGATACGTTCTAAATTTGAGGTTCCACTGTATCTGAGTTTTCTTTGTTTTTTCTTAATAGTTCTTGCTCATATTATCTTCCTTTCATATTCATGGGAAAATGGAATAAGAATCTTTCCTCTGTAAGCCACGCATGTTGCAAAAGTCAACTGAAATGTCGGGATCAATGAGCTAGTGACCCTTTTTCCTGTACAGCTTACTAAAAATAAAAATAAAACCTTGAAGTTGGGATGTTTGAATGTGTGTGGGTGTGGATGTATTGTATATAGTAAGAAAGAGATGATTATGGATGTTTTGAATGAAAAGAAGCTAGATGTCCTGGCTCTAAGCAAAACGAAGCTGAAGGGGGTAGGAGAGATTCAGTGAGCAAAAATACATGGGATTAGGTCAGGGGTTTCTAACAGTTAGAGCTAAGGGAGGAATAGCAATAATGTTGAAGGATCAGTTATGGCAGGAAAAGAGGGAATATAAATGCATAAATTCAAGGATTATGTGGAGTAAAATGAGGGTTGGATGCAAAATGTAGGTTGTAGTAAGTGTTTATGCACCTGGAGACAAGAGAAGTGTAGAGGAGAGAGAGAGAGATTTTGGGAGATGTTGAGCGAGTGTGTGGTGAGTTTTGAACCAAGTGAGAGAGTACTTGTGGTGGGGGACCTAAATGCTAAAGTGGGTAAAACTGTTGTGGAGGGAGTATTAGTAAATTTGGAGTGCCAGGGGTAAATGAAAATGGGGGACCTTTAATTGAACTATGTATAGAAAGAGGTTTGGTGATAAGTAATACATATTTTAAGAAAAAGAGGATAAGTATACAAGATATGATATAGCACGTAATGAAAGTAGTTTGTTAGATTATGTACTGGTGGATAAAAAGTTGATGGGTAGACTTCAGGATGCGCATGTTTATAGAGGGACAATGGATATATCGGATCATTTTTTAGTTGAAGCTACAGTTAGAGTGAGAGGTAGATAGGGAAAAAGGAAAATGCAACAGCAAGTAAGAGGGAGGTGCAAGTTTATAAACTAAGGGAGGAGGAAGTTAGGGTGAGATATAAGTAACTATTGGAAGAAAGGTGGGATAGTACAAGTATGGATAGTGGGGGAGGGGTTGAAGAGGGGTGGGATAGTTTTAAAAATGCAGAATGCAGGGCAGACGTTTGTGGCTATAGAAAGGTGGGTGCAGGAGAAAAGAGGAGTGACTAGTGGAATGATGAGGTAAAGGGTGTGATAAAAGAGAAAAAGGTTG